TGGCCCCGTGGGGAGCTCCACCGAAGGTCCCAGTGGCACCGCCCGCATGCGTCAGCCACCACCCAGTGCAGCGTTTCGTGGCCCCACAGGGATCTCCACCGAAGGTCGCAGTGGCACCGCCCGCATGCGTCAGCCATCGCCCAGCACAGCGTTTCGCGGGCCCGTAAATGGGGCTCCACCGAAAGTCCCAGTGGGACCGCCCGCATGCGTCAGCCACCGCCCAGTACAGCTTTCGTGGCCCCATAGGGAGCTCCACCGAAGGTCCCAGTGGCACCGCCCGCATGCGTCAGCCACCACCCAGCACAGCGTTTGGTGGGTGGCCCCATAAAGTGGGCTCCACCGAAGGCACCAGTGGCACCGCCCGCATGCGTCAGCCACCACCCAGCACAGCGTTTCGTGCCACCGGAGGGATCTCCACCGAAGGTCCCAGTGGCACCGCCCGCGTGCGTCAGCCACCACCTTGTGCAGCGTTTCGTGGCCCCACAAGGAGCTCCACCGAAGGTTTCAGTGGCACCGCCCGCATGCGTCAGCCACCACCCAGCACAGCGTTTCGCGGGCCCGTAAATGGGGCTCCACCGAAAGTCCCAGATGCGTCAGCCACCACCCAGTACAGCTTTCGTGGCCCCATAGGGAGCTCCACCGGAGGTCCCAGTGGCACCGCCCGCATGCGTCAGCCATCACCCAGCACAGCGTTTGGTGGGTGGCCCCATAAAGAGGCTCCACCGAAGGCACCAGTGGCACCGTCCGCATGCGTCAGCCACCACCCAGCACAGCGTTTCGTGCCACCGTAGGGATCTCCACCGAAGGTCCCAGTGGCACCGCCCGCATGCGTCAGCCACCACCCAACACAGCGTTTCGTGTGCCCGTAGGGAATTCAACCGACGGCCCCACTGGCACCGCCCGCCTGCGTCAGCCACCACCCAGTACAGCGCTTCGTGGCCCCGTAGGGAGCTCCACCGAAGGTCCCAGTGGCACCGCCCGCATGCGTCAGCCACCACCCAGTATGGCGCTTCGTGGCCCCATGGGGAGCTCCACCGAAGGTCCCACTGGCACCGCCCTCGTCAGCCACCACCCAGTACGGCGTTCCGTGGCCCCGTAGGGAGCCCACACAAAGACCTCGATGGCACCGCCCGCATGCGTCGTCCACCACCCAGTATTCCATTTCGCGGCCCCATTGTTTGGGAGCTCCACCAAACCCTAGTGGCACCGCCCGCATGCGTCAGCCACCACTCAACACAGCGTTTCGTGTGCCCGTAGGGAGCTCAACCGGCGGCCCCACTGGCACCGCCCGCACGCGTCAGCCACAAGGGGGCTCCACCGAAGGTCCTAGTGGCACCGCCCGCATGCGTCCCCCCCACCTGGTAAAGCGTTTCGTGGCCCCGTAGGGAGCTCCAGAAGCCCGCCCGCGTGCGTCAGCCACACCCAGTACAGCGTTTCGTGGGCCCATAAGGGGTAGGGGGTTCCACCGAAGGCCCGAGTGGCACCGCCCGCATGCGCCCCCCCCCCCCCCCTCCCGTGGCCCCACAGGAAGCTCCACCGAAGGGCCCCGCTGGCACCGCCCGCATGCGCCCCCCCCTCCCGTGGCCCCACAGGAAGCTCCACCGAAGGGCCCCGCTGGCACCGCCCGCATGCGCACCCCCCCCCCGGGTCAGCGTTTCGTGGCCCTGTAGGTGGCTCCAGAGAAAGACCCCGGCGGCACCGCCCGCATGCGTTTCCCCCGGCCAGTGCAGCGTGATTCGCGGCCTCCTCGGGAGCTCCAGCGAGGAGCACCGCCCGCTTGCGTCAGCCACGCCAAGTGCAGCGTTTCGTGGCCCACGGGGAACCCCACCAAAGGCCCCAGTGGCACCGCCCGCATGCGTCTCCCCTACCCATGTCGGCACGTCCCTCACGCGTTTCGTGGCCCCATAGGGAATTCCACCGGAAGCGTCACCCACAAGGCGTTATTCACAACTGCATATGGCTGGTCCTTCGCCATTATATATATGTACGTACATACATACATACATACATACATACATACATACATACATACATACATACATACATATATATATATATACATACATACATACATCCATCCATCCATACAGACAGACAGACAGACAGACAGACATACATACATACATACATACATACATACATACATACATACACACACATACATACATACATACATACATACATACATACATACATACATACATACATACATACATGCATATATAAGGAAGTCTATAAATCAGGCGATCGCAAACATGGATTACGAGGGCGTGGAGCGACGTGTCCCGTTTCCATGGGAAATCGCGTATTTCCGTCGCCGAGCGAGGCGACACCGGCCGCATTTTGGGGAGGGCACCTCCACCGATCCATGGATTTGGCGACTCCGCGCGATTGGGAGGCTGGGGCTGGGAGAAACGATGATTTCATCTCGCGTAGGCGGCCGAAGATATCGTTCGTTGCACCCGGATGCTGGCATCGCTCGGACGTGTGCATTTTTTCTCGGCGAGAACCATTGAGGACGATCCTGGACCATCGAGCAACAAAAATTACCCCGGCAAAGCAACCTAACAGCGATGTGTAGGAGCATATCTGGAAGCATTGCCCTTAAGATCCCGATGAGAGTCCAGTTGTAGAATTCTGATGTTCTCGCAGTCGCAGTCGCACTCGCGATGACAGTCAGAGTGGCAACAGCAGTCGCAGCCGCAGCCTGCCTCAGCCTCAGCCTGCCTCAGCCTCAGCCTCAGCCTGCCTCAGCCTCAGCCTCAGCCTGCTTCAGCATCAGCCTCAGTCTGCCTTCAGCCTCGGCCTCAGCCTCAGCCTGCCTCAGCCCCACCCTGCATCAGCCTCAGCCTCAGCCTCAGCCTGCCTCAGCCTCAGCCTGCCTCAGCCTCAGCCTCAGCCTGCCTCAGCCTTCAGCCTCAGCCTGCTTCAGCCTCAGCCTCAGTCTACCTTCAGCCTCGGCCTCAGCCTCAGCCTGCCTCAGCCTCAGCCTGCATCAGCCTCAGCCTCAGCCTCAGCCTGCCTCAGCATCAGCCTGCCTCAGCCTCAGCCTCAGCCTGCCTCAGCCTCAGCCTCAGCCTGCTTCAGCCTCAGCCTCAGTCTGCCTTCAGCCTCGGCCTCAGCCTCAGCCTGCCTCAGCCCCAGCCTGCATCAGCCTCAGCCTCAGCCTCAGCCTGCCTCAGCCTCAGCCTGCCTCAGCCTCAGCCTCAGCCTGCCTCAGCCTCAGCCTCAGCCTGCCTCAGCCTCAGCCTGCTTCAGCCTCAGCCTCAGCCTCAGTCTGCCTTCAGCCTCGGCCTCAGCCTCAGCCTGCCTCAGCCTCAGCCTGATCAGCCTGAGCCTCAGCCTCAGCCTGCCTCAGCCTCAGCCTCAGCCTGCTTCAGCCTCAGCCTCAGTCTGCCTTCAGCCTCAGCCTGCCTCAGCATCAGCCTGCCTCAGCCTCAGCCTCAGCCTCAGCCTCAGCCTGCCTCAGCCTCACCCTGCATCAGCCTTCAGCCTCAGCCTCAGCCTGCCTCAGCCTCAGCCTGCCTCAGCCTCAGCCTCAGCCTGCCTCAGCATTCAAGATCATGCCCAGGATGTAATTCTGGGAACTCGAAGACCACGAAGTGGCCTACAGTTGGCTCCGGGCAGTCAAAATGTGGCCCGGGAATGGAGTTCTGGGAACTCGAAGACCACGAAGTGGCCTACAGTTGGCTCCGGGCAGTCAAAATGTGGCCCGGGAATGGAGTTCTGGAAACTCGAAGACCACGAAGTGGCCTACAGTTGGCTCCGGGCAGTCAAAATGTGGCCCGGGAATGGAGTTCTGGGAACTCGAAGACTACGAAGTGGCCTATAGTTGGCTCCGGGCATCCAAAATGTACGCCGGGAATGGAGTTCTGGGAACTCGATGACCACGAAGTGGCCTACAGTTGGCTCCGGGCATCCAAAATGTACGCCGGGAATGGAGTTCTAGCAGCGCCAAGAGCGATTTTGCGAGGATGTCCCAGGCGATTTGGGCTTCGGCGGCAGCCGCCCCGGGTCCCGCCCCGACCCCCCTGAGGAGTCATGATGCTCTCTTTTGACACCACTAGAAACCTATCAGTCTTCGCTGTTAGGTAACATACACGAAACCGAAAAATGCACGGGAAATGGACGTCCGAGCGATGGCGAGGGATGCTGTTGCTCATGCCCTTTATCCTCCCAGCCCATTCCTCCCAACACGGTGGCCGTTCTCCTCACAGGTGGCCCAAGACAGTCAGACGCCGGTTCGCAAGCGGTGTGGTGCCCCAGATCGGCGGCGGGCGCGGGGGGGAAATGAGACGGGGCGGGACTTCCGAGGCTTCTGAGAAGTTTCTGGACTTCTGAAAGGGCTTCTGAGAAGTTCAGTCTGTACTCGAAATAGGCCAAGGAGACCTCTCAGAAGTCCCCCGGACTTCTAAGAAGTCCCGCGGCCTTCTGAGAAGGCCTTCTCCCTCTCATTTCCCCCCTGGGCTCGTCGCCTACCAGAGGCGCATTGAGGCACGAAGGCGACAGGAAAACCCATCGCGAGGGAGGGAGGGAGGCAAAAGATGGTACGCACACGGTTTTCGGAGCTCCGCGCCGATTTCTTGGGTATCGACGCTCGGCCTCCCTCTGGCGGCGCCTGGCGCCGCCTCTCTCCTCCTCCTCCTCCTCCTCCTCCTCCGAGCGAGCTTCTTCGAAGTACATTGCTGGGCGCGCGTGCTTGTCGGCCGCTGGTGTTGCGGCTCAAGTCTAATTCAGAGGGCGGCGCATGGGAGTCATCTCATTCCTTCGAGCCAAAGTCTTGCCATTCGCCCTCAGTCAGTTGCCTCAGGCAGTCCAGGTGTTGATACCAGGGCACGAGGACGCAGGTGGGTGCCTCCTCCTCTCGGAGCTCACGGGCAGCTTGCGGGGCTTCCTCGCAGGGGTCTGCGCCCTCTGCTTCTTGATTGGAGCTGCTGCGGGGTGCTGCTGCTGCATTGTGGGCTATGGAGGCTGGTCTACATGTCGGCGTCCCGTGGCAGGCCGGACGGGACTGGCAAGTGAGTATCATCATCTGCGAGCGCTCGGGCGGGGAGTACACCGTCGGCGACCCAGCACCTCCAGCCCTGGTGACGAAGTGGTTCTGTTGCCTCACTCCAGACGGGGACATCCTGCTGCAGCTCCTGGCGGTCGGGGCTCTGGCTGGGGTGGTGGTGCTCGACAAGACGGGCCAGCCCACCGACTCCACCTCCGAAGGCCGGAAGTCGCGGAGGAGACGCTCGGTATGCGGCGCCGACCGGGAGGCGATGGCGCTCGACTACGTAGCAGCCTTGCGGTTTTGCCGCCCCGAGGCTCTCTCCAGCGGTCACCCGAGCCGGCGGCTCCGTGGGAAGCAATTGCGACCAGCATCGGGAACGCCGTCAGGGGATGGAGCAGCGAAGGTTCCGACTGACATGGAGGTCTCGGAGGGAGCCTTGCCGACGCCGCCCGACGGGCGGTGTGGGGGGATCCTCGCCACGACGGGCTCGGACACCGCGCGCACGGAGCGTTTCGGTGGCGCGACCGACGGATATGCTGTCGCAGGCGGGTTCGGTGTCGTACCGATGGGCTTGGAGGCGGATGTCGTGAGAGGGGTGAAGCGTGACGAGCTCGGAGGCGACGGGGACTCAGACGCCCGGTCGTTCAACATCAAGGTGGTGTTTGAGGGGGAGCGGTGCCGTCTGACCAAGGATGCCGTGAACCTCCTCAGCGAGGCGAGCTAGCCCGTCCGGCCAGTGCTTGGCCCGCGCACCACTCGTCGGTGCTTGCCGTTCCTGGCGGACCAGGACGTACATCCACGGGCACGGCACACGAGGTGGAGGCACGAGGCCGGGGCCTCGCTTGACGACCCCGGCGTCTCCGACCACGAGCTGTGCATGCGCGTGGTCGGCCTGGGCATGTCTTTCGACCAGCTGAACGGCGGCGAGCTGGGCTTCTTCGAGTACATCGCAAGGCGGGCGCAGCTCATTGAGCACTGCTACCGCGAGAGGGCCATGGACCGGCCCGACGGCATCGACGGAGCCGAGGACGACTACCTCATGATGGGGACCCTGGAGACGCGCGGCCATTTGAAGATCGCGCCGGAGCTCCAGGACTACATCACGGCCGAGCTCCACCGCGAGGCGGGCCTGCTCGAGGAGCGGCGCGAGCTTCGCGAGGAGCGGGCCATCTCGTCTTGCGGCGGCGGCGGAGGCTGCGCAGGCAGTGCCGGCAACGACAAGGGCTCGCTGCAGCAGAAGACCCAGCAGCAGGCGGCGGAGCTCAAGCGGCTCCAGGCGGGCCGTGGCAGCGGCGGCGGAGGCGGCGGCGGCCAGCAGGAGGGCGATGCCGGAGGCGGCCGCGGTGGCGGCCGCGGGGGCAAGTAGCCCACCGGCGCCACCCGCCGGCCGGGCTGCCCCAGGGCGTGCCCTGCCGGCTCTTCGGCCGGGATGGTGGTCGCTCGCGAGCTGCTGCCTATCAACCTGGCCGCCCTCTCGGCCCCGCGCGAGCCACCTGGCGTTGGCCGCTGCAGCCGCAGCGTCCGCAGCCGGGCCCTCCGCCGGACCCTCGTCGACGAGCGCGTGCGTGAGTCGGTGACCGCCCTCAACCTTTTGTACAACCACGGCGAGGCCCAGGTCTCGCACCAACTTTCTCTTGCTCAGGTCCGTGGTGTCGAGCATCTCCGACGTGGTTGGGGGCGACTCGGTGCCCCGGAGGTGAGCCCCGCGGCAGCCTGCAGTGAGCTGTGCGGGAGCAGGCCCGGGTATGGCGACCCGGTGAAGACGGCTCCTTACCAGCGAGACCTCGTCTCGCTGCCGACCGGCGGGGTCCTGGCCGAGGGGGACCGGTGCCTCGGCGGTGCGGCTTTAAGTTTCTGGAAGGAGTGGCGACAGCATCTTTTGCGGCCCGGTGTCAGCCGGGAGGTAGTGCAGAAATTCAGGCCTCACGTCGACAGTCGGCTACGTGCGAAGGGTACCTACGCCCAGTTCGTGTTAGACCTCCAGGCCGCCGGTTTGGTGAACCTGAGGGGCCGCCTCGACGCGACCTTGGGAGTGTTCTTCGTGTGGAAGAGTGACGGCGTCAGGCAGAGGCTGATATTCGATACTAGGGGTAGTAACGAGATTTTCAATTCGCCCGAGTATTCTCAGCTGCCCACGGCTAGTGCATGGAATTCCTTGTATGTGCCAGATCAATGCGAGCTCTCTTTGTGCCAGGCAGACGTTGACAATGCATTCTATCGTATCGGCCTGCCCGCAGGGATTGAAGATTATTTTGTCCTCCCTCCTGTCTCTTGCCGCCACCTCGAGGCACTTTGCCCAGGCAGCTCCGGGGAACTTCGCGGGGCGGGGGAGCTCTCGCCCGTCCTCCGCGCATTACCCATGGGGTGGTCTTGGTCTTTATACTTCTGTCAGTGTATGGTAGAACAAGCTGTTCTCGACTCCGGCCTCCCCCCTTCCAGACTTGTCCAGGATAGACGGGCGGCCGCCGGCCTCGAGGAAGGGCCTCTCGCTGCCGTCTATGTCGACGGGGTCGCTTTCCTCGGGACCAGCGAAAAATGCTGCTCGGACGGGTGTGCGTCCGCCGTCGAGCTCCTAGGATCTCGTGGTCTGGTTTGCAAGGGGATGGTCGGGGCGTCTGAACAGCAGTCTTTCACAGGCCTCACGTTCGAACGCAGCTCGGGAATCATTTCGCTTTCGACCCGGCGCTTGTGGAAAATCCGCCTGGGGCTCTTGGAGCTCTGCCGCCAGGGCTGGTGCACCGGGGTCCAGCTGCGCCGGGTCTTGGGCCATTTAACTTGGGCTTTCCTGCTGAAGCGTGAGCTTTTGTCTATCCTCAGCAGCGCTTTCCGTTTTTGTGAAATGGCCGGGGAGCAGCGGTGGCGTCTCTGGAGTTGTGTGACTCGGGAGCTGCGGATCGCCGCAGCACTTCTGCCGTTTGCCGCTGTCGACACCAAGAGGCCGTTCGACCCGTGCGTGATGGCCTCCGACGCCTCCGGGGCCACCGAGTTCGACTTCGGGGGTTTCGGCGTCTGCGAGCGGCCCTGGGACTCGGAGGCAGTTCGAGCCGTGGCCAGCCGTGCGGAGAGGTGGAGATACTGCGTCGAGGATGCCATTTGCGCCCGGGAGCAGAGTCTCGGGCTGGTCCCTCAGGGGCCCTCCAAGCCCCGAAGTTCCCAAGTGAGAGCCCGCCGTGGGGTTACCGACTTCTTCCACATCGATGGGGAGCAGATCGGGGATTTCGACACCTGGTCCACCGTTTTGTTCGGCCGGTTCGCCTCGTCGGAGAATATTATGCGGGCGGAGGGGCGGGCCCTGGTGATGGGGGCCCGGCACAAGCTACGAAACGTCAGCAGCTTCGGTCGCCGTCATCTGCTTCTGTGCGATAATATGTCTGTGGTCTTAGCTACGGGAAAGGGGCGTTCGACTTCCCCACTGCTGAATCGAACATGTCAGGAGTTATTGTGTCTTTCTATTCTCTCAAATACTTCATTCGTGGTCCGATGGATTGCATCAGAGTTGAACCCTGCAGGCGATCCTTCTCGCAGCCTGTCGGCCCGCGCCAGCGCCTGGAGGCGCGACCCACGCGGGCCGGCGTTCCGCGATGCCCCGGCGGCCTGGGCCAGGCCTGGAGGCGCGGCCGGCACGAGCCCTTCAGCCAGCACTGCCTTCGATCGTGAGCTCGAGCGGACCATCGTGCAGCGAGCCCGCGGACAGCTTGCAGCTCCGCTCGGGCTTTGTGGTCTCGGTGACGGTCTCGATCCTGAGGCCCGCCCCGCGGGCCTGGCGCGGTGCGACGTCGAGCCCGTCGGCGACAACGGGGACCGCGGGAGTGGCAGTGCCAGCTCGTCCACCTCGTCCAGTCGCTCGGGCAGTCCTGGTTCAGGGAGCCGCCGCAGCTGCTGCAGCTCGAGGCGGACGGACCGCGCGGACCAAGAGGACGGCGCGAGCCGCCCCTCTGCAGGTTCGGTGTGCGGCCCATCGGCGCCGCCTTCTGGTCGCAGCCTCCAGGGCCGCGGCAGAGGGCCTGACGCTCCCGCAGACCTCTCGAGCGGGGCACGGGACGCAGCTGCAGTACCAGCGGTCCCACACCGACTTCCTGGGCAGGAGCCGGGGGGAGAAGCTGAGGATGAGCACCGTGGCCAACTTGGACCGGGGTCTCGCCAGCTATCTGGACCACCTGATCTTCGACGGTTGGATTCGGGGGTTCTCCGCGATCATCGGGGCCGGCGTGTGTTGCGGCTTGCTCGATTGCTGCCTCGGCCTCCTCGTCGCCTGGGACGCGCGCCTCAGGTTGGCCAGCGCTTTGATTGGCATGATGGGTGGCTCCCTGGTGACGCCAGCTCGGCGGAGCCGGATCGACCGGTGGACCATCTTGTTGTTCCCAAAGGAGCTGCCCGATCGGAGCAAGACGGGCCAGTTCGAGGAGGGGATGGTGCTAGAGTCGGATGCCGTGCAGTGCGTGAGCTCCGCCCTGAATGCCCTGAAGTTGCGGAGCCAGGCGGACAGGCCTCTGTGGCCATCCTCCAGTCCAAGGTTCCGCCAGGAGTTCGCCGCGTGCGCCAGCCTGGAGGGGCTCGAGGACGTGCCCCCGTACCAGGACCGCCACGGGGCCGACTCCCACGACGTGCTGTTCCAAGTGGGGGAGTTCGGAGCGGTCCAGGAGAAATCCAGGCACTTGAACGAGTCGAGAACACGGCGGTGCCGCAAGGGGGCCCGCTACCTGGCCACGGACGAGAAGTTGCCCCCCGAGATCAAGGCGTTCGGCGAGTGGGTCGAGGCCAACCTCGCCGGCCTCTTCTCC